TTATTAGAGCATGAGCGGGGGAGGGGCAGAGAGAGAGGGAGACCCAGAATCTGAAGCAGGCTCCAGGCTCCGAGCTGTCAGCACAGAGCCTGACGCAGGGCTCAAACTCATAGACCATGAGATCGTGACCTGAGCCAAAGTCAGATGCTCAACCAACTGAGCCACCCAGGTGCCCCTTAATGCATTTCTGATGGGGAAAAAAGATGGGGTTCCTGAGCAAATTAATGGTCTCAACAAGACAGGGCAATAAACAGATATAACCCCACCCCAAAACAGGCAATTTTATCAGCATTCCTTTTTAATATATACGTAAATGATCATCCATTCATAAAAAACAAGCAGAACCATCTATAGTTGGCAACACTTTGTTACTCATGGACTACCAACCAAAAGTAATTTTTTTAATTTTTGAAAAAAAATGTTTAATGTTTGTTTATTTTTGAGAGAGACAGAGTGCAAGTGGGGATGGGCAGAGAGAGAAAGGGAGACACAGAAGCCAAAGCAGGCTTCAGGCTCTGAACTGTCAGCACAGAGCAGGACAGATGCAGGCAGGGCTCGAACTCACAAACCATGAGATCATGACCTGAGCCAAAGTTGGGTGCTCAACCGACTGAGCCACCCAGACACCCCCAAAAGCAATTTTTTAATTAAAAGAATGCTATTTGTTCTTTCTACTAATTTAAGTACATACTTATTCTGAATTAGTGAGATTTTATGATTTTCTGGCTTAAAAGATTTTAGAGAAGAAGATTCTCATTGTTCTCATTTCTCTCTCAATTTTGAAGTAGCTGTTAAAACTGTATTCACTTAATTTTCTTCCTCATTTAAAATTAATCACTGTGACTCCCACCTTTTCACCACAACAAAAAACTTAGCTCCAGATAAACTTAACACTGGATTTGAGGGACTAGACCATGCTAACACCAGATTCCAACCAAGTTCATTTAATTTGAATTGGCACAATCCTTTATACACATAAGACTTATTAAACATATTTATTTGGGTTTAACTTAAGAGTTTTCCTTCCTGCCTTTTATCTAATAAACTATTTTTCATCTCTTTCCCAAGGTTTTCAAACAACTGGAAATTTATGAATACTTCACATTTTCATTTGATTTTGAAGATTGTAAATTTAGAATTAAAAATGTTTTTTACATTTAAAAATAGAACACTTGCAGTGAATTTAACATGTGCAAACAAAGAAAAACATTTGATTTTGTTGGTAATTCAGTAAGATAACTAATGTGTACTTCAAAAATGCAGGTAATATTAAAATTTTAGAGTGCACACTATCATAGCCCCAGGTCTTTGAATCTTCTAAAAATAAAATTGCTATCTAAGAACTTTTTTTCCTTCATAGCCCAATACAAACTTTAAATGATAACGTTGTCGAACAGAAATGAAGGCATATTTAATGTTTTGTCCATCTCTGGGACCTAACTCCCTTTTAATAGAAAATAGACTGTATTTATTCATAGCTTGTTATATGTCTAATTTACCATCACATTTTTTTAAATTTCTCCTTTGTAGTAAATGGAAAACTTGGGGGAGTAGTCAAGAGTAACCTAGGTTCAGGCTGTGTCCTCTTCTAGCTAAATTCCTTTAGGTCCTGTTAATGACACTTTAGGTCCAATTGATGAGATTGCTCACTTGCATTTAAAGGTTGGCTCATATTAGTTGCTATTCCTTTATATGTATCTTTTCTTTCCAACTACACTTTTGGACTTTATAGCTGGGACCCTCCTTTTGCCTTTTATTTTGCCATGTATTCACTTAACTCTTAATGTAGCACTCTTCATCATCGTAAATAGTAAATACTGATTGACTGAAAGAGATAGGAGAGAAGAAAGAAAGCAATGAAGAAAAATAGAGCAAATTTACTCTAGTAGTACATGTATTCTGATCTGATTTAATACTTCTTGATTTTGATAATGTACTGACTTCTATGGAAATAGCTTATGTCCTCTAAGTCAGTTTATCAGTGATTTACTTGAAAATTAATGAAAATTTTTTACATTTCTTTGAGAAAAATGCTTTCCTCTTACAACTTTTTCTTGGCTAATCTTATAAACAAACGTTTTAGATGTCTCATTTTTTTTTTTTCCATTTTTTTTTTTTTCAACGTTTATTTATTTTTGGGACAGAGAGAGACAGAGCATGAATGGGGGAGGGGCAGAGAGAGAGGGAGACACAGAATTGGAAACAGGCTCCAGGCTCTGAGCCATCAGCCCAGAGCCTGACGCGGGGCTCGAACTCCCGGACCGCGAGATCGTGACCTGGCTGAAGTCGGACGCCTAACCGACTGCGCCACCCAGGCGCCCCTTAGATGTCTCATTTTTACTTGAAATCTACTGTTAACACAGTTGGTCACCCCTTGATTGCATCTGAGGATATATTCTGTCTTTAGTTTTCTGAAGAGTTCTCTGATTTCTAACCCATATTTCTATAGATAAGACTTATTTTAGCATCAAATCTGTTGGCTTGAACTACAGTTACTGATTGTGCAAGGTGAACACCTTTGTCCTCTACTCTGATTTGTAACCAGGGAAAATGTCCTAGATGAGAACCAGCAGTAAGAATCCTTTATAGTTCTGCAGATGGTCCTGCTTTCTTAATAAGGCTATCAGTTAGTCATCATCATTATTATTTGTATTAATAAATCACTTTTCTCATTATATACTTCCACAATGTAGAGAGCTAAGAATGATCCCAAAGACACGAAGTCTGAATAAGTAATAGAATCCTCATATTAGGACTATTTTGTACAGTATAAACACTGCATGTAGGAACTTCTTTTGGCATGTGATTTTAGAAGATCGTGGATATTAACATAAACCACTTTTGCTTTTTATTGAGTTTCTTGCTGATGTATGATTTGCACTTGCTTTTTATCTTAATTGTGCAATAATTTTATATTGTATTCTATTTGTGTTGTGCAAAGTACTTTAAAACATACTTCTGAACTGAATGTCCTTTGCCAGTAACAGGGGGTATCACAGAAGAGCAGTTTCAGACACATCAACAGCAGTTAGTTCAAATGCAAAGGCAGCAGCTTGCTCAGCTTCAGCAGAAACAGCAATCTCAGCATTCCTCGCAACAGACGCACCCAAAAGCACAGGTGAACCTGTCTTTTAATCGTGGTTGTTTCCTTTTTCTTCTTTAATTACATAGTTTTGTACAATTTTGTCAAGTCAAAGATAACCTTGATAAACTAATGTATATTTAATGAGGAGAATACTAGAGTCAAATATGGTATTTGTAATTTAGGAAAGAAACCACATTGTTTTAGAGGGGTATTGAGAATTTGTGGAAGGAATTAGATACTCTTAGAATTATCATCCCCACCCCTACTCTGCCTCCAAAACTTTTTTCCCCCAATCTTAACCCCTTCCTAAACTGTGTTTTTAAGTGCCATTTGGGTGTGCCCCATGACTTAGGAGGTAATTTTCTTGAATTGTCCACTAAATCCAAACAACATAGTCCCTTGCCTCTTTGAATCACATTTCCCTGAAGAAAAAAATTGCCACTAGGTGACGTTTTCCATTGGCACCATTAGACGAATATGTTAGGGGTTAAGAACAAAAATACTTTCTAAAATTGCAATTGCCGGAAGAAAGAAACCCTGCAAACACCTTGATATGAGCCCTAGAACACTTATTTTGAAGTTGTGGCATCCAAAACTATATGAGAATAAATTTCTGTTGTTAAGCCACTAAAAATAAAAGTGTAATTGAAAAGTTTGTTTGAAATTTGAGCCATCTGAAAGAAATAAATCTAATACTTTAGGTCTTAAGTTTTGTTACTTCATAATTCCAAAAGTAACTCTGAAGTAATAACTGAGATTAACTCAATCTTTGTTGTATTCTGTGAGCTCTCAGGCCAGCGTCTGCTGATAGTAGGTCAGTTCATTCTCAGAGGGTCACTAAATAACACTGACCTTGGAAATCCTGAATCCAGCAACATGAAAATCTCAGTGACACCAGGAGCCCTCAGCACTCCTCTAGCATCCGGGTGGATTTGGGACTAGCCTGCATTCTGGAGCTATTGGCTGACCTGTTTCATGCAGAATCAAGAGGAATGGCCATTAAACTTGCCTTTGTTTGCTTTTTCTGAATCTCTCGGGTAACTAGCCTACTTGCGAGGTTAGTTAGGCAAGACATGTTTTTACATTGTGACAAAAAGGATGGTTAAATTTCATTTTGTCCCTACTATCTAGATTGTCAAGTATTTTTAAAGGCATTCTTTAACACTTACTGGAAAAATTAATAGAGCATAAAAGGTTTGAGGTTTTTTAATCCCCTAGTTCTTTCTCAGAAATAGTTGCTTCCCAATTTTTAGTCACTCCCTGCTTAAAAATGCCAAAAATAGTCTGTGGAGCCTTGGATCTCTTAATCTTAGCACTTACACCTGTTCAAGATGAAAAAGGAAACCACCTTTTGGGTTTGCCCATTTCTTAATATTCACATTCATGAAATCACATTTGAAAAATTGAGAGTTTAATTTTGTTCATTTTATAGGGCTCAAGCACCTCTGACTGTATGTCTAAAACACTTGACTCAGCCAGCGCCCACTTTGCTGCATCTGCAGTAGTCAGTGCACCTGTTCCAAGTCGCAGTGAGGTAGCCAAGGAACAGAACACTGGCCACAACAACATAAACGGTGTTGTCCAGCCTTCAGGTAAGCCTGTGGTTTCATGTGATACTTACTAGCTCGAGGTTGTAACTTACTGATTGGAGATATGGTGTTTGTTTTAAATACAAGGGGAAAAAATCGTACAAGAAGTCAGGACTCCAGAATTTCTGAGGATAGGTGTGGCGGAATAGCTGCATATTTTCTGGAAATCACGGAGAGCCTGCTCCCTGTTTCCTCCTGCTCCCACTAGATACCTTCCTGTGTAACTCTCCATCCTGCCTGGTTTTATCCACATACTGTCAGTTGCCTCACATCTTAGGAAACATACTGAGCTAATCGCTAACCATCACGCTGGAATTATCCATGCATTGATAGGCAAAATATAATCCAGGTTGGTCTGTCAGTAAGTTTGAAATTGGGTTTACCTTCCCACTGGCACATACTCATGGGACTGCTTTCTCTGACTCCTCCTCTTGAAATACAGTATTACTCTGAAACCTTGTCTGCTTCTTACCACCCTGAGTCCTCAAAGACTTGCTGTTCCTATCAGCCTTCAGCTACTACTCAGACCCTAGGGTTTTTCCACTTGCTTTTAGATACACCCATGATCCTGATTACCCCGCCTTACTGATTCCTTGCATGCGTGAATTGTGATGGAATCCGACTGTCTTTGCCACATGGTCTCAACCTCCAGAGAGGACCTCTCTGCCCTGTTGTTTCCTACTTTCCAAATGTAGACTTTTATGCAGGCTAGTAGAAAAATGTGTCTTTGGGTTGTAACAGGTAAGTATGTTGTGATCAGGAACTCTCTTTGGAGAGGCCATTATGTGGAAAGTTAATTTGGTATGTAATTAGAATACAAATGTTTGCACGGATTTTTATTAAACTCTGATTTTCTGAGAGTTTAATTAATGTCTCATGATACGAATTAAATGATGTTATTTTTCTCCTCCAGGAACCTCTAAAACGTTATACTCCACCAATATGGCTTTATCATCCAGCCCAGGGATTTCAGCTGTACAACTTGTAAGGACAGTTGGCCACACCACTACAAACCACTTAATCCCAGCATTGTGCACAAGCAGTCCTCAAACACTTCCCATGAACAATTCCTGCCTGACAAATGCAGTGCACCTCAATAACGTCAGTGTTGTTTCTCCAGTCAATGTGCATATCAATACACGGACTTCAGCACCATCGCCAACAGCCTTAAAACTTGCCACGGTTGCTGCCAGTATGGACAGAGTGCCAAAGGTTACTCCCAGCAGTGCCATCAGCAGCATAGCAAGGTGTGTGTGTGTGTGTGTGTGTGTGTGTGTGTGTGTGTGTATTTCTGGTACCATCCTGTCCCTTTCTGCTGGCTGTCCTATGGGAAGAAAAAGACATTTTTTACTGCAGTAGATGTCTATTGATTGACTTGCTTTTAACACATACTGAGTTCTACTCAGGGTAAAGCTCTGTGACTTAGATTATTTGTTTGAGGTCAATAGTGGGATGTTTATGTGCCAACCAGAAGCATAAAAAACAAGGGGGAAAAGCACATCAAATTGGGAACCATCAAGCCCAAAAAATAAATCAAAGGATATTTTAGAAGCTTGAGTCTTCTACTGTTTTTTTGTAGCTTAGACAGTTGGGGAGGTTAGAGTTGTTACTGATTCCCACGTCAGAGCTTTAATTTTCAAATCAAAATTTGTGTTTTCTTCAACATTATAAGAAGAAAGTAAATTATTCTATGTATATATTAAAATTGAGACTCTTCTGGGATTAGCTAAATCTGTGATCATGTATTTCAGGGTATGTTTTTATATTTCTGTGATACTAGTACATGAGAGCAACGAATCAGAAAAAAACTTGACGTGCATGAGTTAATAACTTACTGCATGACCTTAAACCTATAAAATTAAACTGTAGTGGAAAGTAATCTAAGTACTGTTGTGCTTCTGATGATCATTTTTTTTTTAATGTTTATTTTTGAGACAGAGAGAGACAGAGCATGAACGGGGGAGGGTCAGAGAGAGGGAGACACAGAATCTGAAGCAGGCTCCCGGCTCTGAGCTGTCAGCCCAGAGCCCAACGTGGGGCTTGAACTCACGGACTGTGAGATCATGACCTGAGCCGAAGTCGGACGCTCAACCGACTGAGCCACCCAGGCACCCCTGATGATTATTCTTTTTGAGCATCATATGCTTCATCTATTGTAAAAAACTTGGATTGTCCTGTGTTACATATTTTCATAAGTAGTTTATCATTGGCTTCCCCCGAAATATTATGTTAAATTACTGTGTTTCCTAAGTAAACAATTATAATCAAGTAATTAGGAAATAATAGAATTTCTTAGATACACAAAACTTTTCCTCATTCCTGTATAGCAATTGTAAAAGTAGGAAATGTTCTTGTGAAGTACATGTTTAGTTGTAGTTACGTAAAACCGTATCTGTAAATACTGAGTGATAATATCATATTCTGGAGAGTATTAATGTTTATTTTACTCTTTGCCTTATTATAGAGAGAACCATGAACCAGAAAGATTGGGTTTAAATGGAATAGCAGAGACAACAGTAGCTATGGAAGTGACATAACCTAAAACGTGTGGCTTTGACCTGTGCTGATGGTGTGCAGTCATTCATATTCCAGCTGAATGCAAAAGGCGACACTCTGTGGATCACAGAGCGTAACAATGGACCTAAATGGACTACAGTATATCGGATATGAAATCGATATATGATGTATATTTTGTAAAATTGGGAAAATCACTACCTTGTAAAATAGTTTATTTGTATCATCAATATTATTTCTGTTACTTGAATAGTAGATATTCATCATCATGCTTTTGCACTTGAATTTGCAACTGAATGGATTTTAAAAAATAATTCTTTAATGGGATCATGAGCATGAAATGGGATCCTGCATCACTTGTTTTAACTATTTATTTTGCCATGTTTACATTTTGTATCTTGTAAAAATAAATCCAACTTTGTGTCTAAAAAGTTAAAGATTCATAGCTAGGAAATGAAATTCTTGTAATTTTTTTCTAAAGAAACTGTAAAGTTTTCACTTGGTTCATTTTGTTTCACAATTTGACTAGATGGACTTTTTGGTAAATACTAGTGGCATTTCACTGTCAAATATGAAGTTCAAGGCAAAATAGTATTTTCTATTACTGTGCAGGGGAAAGGGATGGATCGATACATGCAAATTTAATGTAGTAACTCACTTTTCCATATATTTTGAATGTATATTTCTATTTATAATACCAGTTTATAAAAAATAATTACACAGGAAAAACGGACTAGGAAAAATTATGCATCTAGCACATTTAAACTGTGCAGATAAGAAAATTTTTCAAGGATTACATTTTATCTGAAGACTGCATATTTTAACTGGCTTTAAAACTGTAACACACCACATAAAGGATATTTTACCAGGTATGTATTGCATCATATCATTGCAATAATTATTGGAAGTCTAGATATCGAGCCATCCCAGGTGTTGGGAGGGGGGGAGGGTTGTGGCAAGACTGTCTTTTCAATTTTGGAGAGTTTTCCTGTGGCTACAAGGCAAGTAACGGGTTGGAAAAAGTCTGACTGTAAGCGTTGGACACCTTCATAGTGTAGTGTTTTAGTGACTTTTTTTATACGGTTCTTGTAAATTAGATACGTGTAGTGGTGTTTCAGAATGTTTGTTTATGCACTAGTTCAGACAACTTTCCCTGTTACTTGTTCTTGATAAGTGAAAACTGCAGGGAAATAAAAATACATATCAAAACATGGACATGCTGCATATGTGTTTATTTCACAATGTGCACACAGCGTAAGTGAGAATTTAAGGGAGACGATAGCACTTAACAGCACTTTTCATTTTCACAGTGCTTTCCAAGCATTAATGAAAAGATTTGTAAGAAGCTCATCTGTGGGCACTATTGGGTTTCAGATAATCCAATATAAACTACCTTTGATATGAAAAGTTCTTAAAATAGTTTACGGAATGTAAGTAATTTGCAGTATAACATTCACTGAAATCTCATAAATGAGCCTCATTTTATAAATAAAAGTTTAGAGTAGAATTATATTGCAAGGGGGTTTTGTCAAGTAAGTACCGGGAAATGTAAATATTTTTAATGAATATGATTAAAACCATTTCAAACTTACATAATTTTATACTTTACATTTTTTATATCTGCAGTCCTGAAAGTTGTAAAATTGATATGTCAGTTGAATTAATGGGCCAAGATTTCTGCTGAGAGTGGTTTTTATTCAGGTCCTAAATGTGTAAAGCAATTTATGGTCAAAACCACAGAGAAAAATAAATTTAATTTCTTCATCGGTTGTGACCTGATAGGATCCATGCTCGTTTCTGCCATACTACCTCTGGAGTTAACTCACTGCTGATGATATAAAGGAAATAATTTTGATTCGATATGTATTATGACTGTGTTCATTCTGCTTATAGTGATGTATCTCCTTGCTATTAAGAACTTAACTTTAGTGCCAATTTTGGAGAAAGCTTTTTTTTCCATTTTACTAAGTAAAGCATGAAGTGAACTTGCCTTATGTGATATACATGTTATAAATAATTTAAGTAAAACAAAAGAACTATCCATTTGTACAGTTTCTGGAGATGTGGCAAACCCAGACCTTATCAAAGACTGGTGACCAATTTATTTGTTCCTTTCGAAGTAAAATAGAAAACTAAGTCCTTCCTTATTTTGGTGGTTGTAACTGTCTCACAGGTGGCATTTCAGTTACTTGCACACACATTTTTCCAGTGCTTTTCAAAACCTTTCAAGTGATGAGAGACTTACCTTTCACCTTTAAGAACAGTTTGTTTTTGCGCTGGCCCCCCACTGGGCAGTACCACCCTATCTTGGTTTTCTGAGGAAACTAATGTTGATGTTGTAGTTCACTAAGCTTCCAGAGTTCTTGGAGAATGTGGGTTTTTTTGATGGGATGAGTAGGTTGGTTGTTTGGTTGGGTTCGGTGGGGCGGGGGGGGTTGTTTTGTTTTGTTTTAAGCAAAAGGGCTACTCATGTCCTGTGGTATCTTGTAATTCGATATAGTTAGAAATATTTATAAACCATTTTTCTGCCTGCCTTTCCTAGTAATTCAAGATCATGTTCAGGACCAGTTACTGTGATGTAGCTCTAAAGGTATTTGAGGATGTGGTGCATATCTTTCTTTTGCAAAAGACCAAAGGAAAAATAAATCTGTCTGGAGGGCAGATGTAAAAAAAATATATATGTCACACACACTCATACCCCCACACACATCCTGTCTTTTTAAAAAATAGGGAATACAGTATTTGCACCCGTGCTTAGTGTTTATTACCAAGGTGGTTTTTTGTGGGGGGAAGAGCAAGAAGGAGGACTAATATTTCAGAAACTTATCCCTAGTATATACTGCTATATTTGAATTTAATGCTATACTTCGGACACTTTTTTTTTTCATTAATAGTACACTTTTAACAGAAATGTTTCATTCTTTAATTAATTTGGCAAACTTAAATTTCAAAACGTTAAGTGTATTTCAAATAATTCACTATTCTATCATGTAGGACGAGGGTTGGTTTTTTTTTTTTTTTTCTCGTTATTAATTGCAGTGTACTCATGGCTAACCTCATGGAGCATGTAGTTTTCTTAGTGACTTTTTCATTTAGTCCTAACAACCATGTAATGTACCAGTATTCTCCCCATTTTACGGATCAGGAAAATGAAACTTAGAGAAATTAGATAACTTGCCCTATGCCACCTAGTTGCAAAGTTACTGAGCCAGGAATTAGACTTAGGTAGTCCCCACACTTCTAACCACTGCCTCCCATCCTTAAAGTGGAAGAAGTGCCCTTCAAAGGAGAACTTGCTGTACTTCTCAGTCCACTTACTGGCAGCATCTGTAGCAAGCCGAGTCTAAAACTTAATTAGGAAACAACCTCCCCCACTCTTAACACCGCCAGGCAATTAATATTTTGTTTTCTGTTTCCCAGATTGAGTGCATTAGATCCAACTTTGGCTTCTAGCCATCCGACAAGGAAGCCCAAGCCAGTCAGATTTTCCTCCTCTGTCTGCCAGACTCCCTAGTAAGTGCTTAAAGCTCTCAATCAGCACATGCGAGCGGAAGCTGGATCTGGGCCCAACATGGGGTGGAGTTTAGCCCTTGCTGGACCTTGGTTTCCCCATCTGTAAAATGAGCAAGTTCCTAAAACTCCAGAAGGGAGGCCGGTGACAGGCATGGTGAAGGATTAAGTGTGGCCCGTGTGTCAGTGGTTTGTCACCAAGGAAGTAAATTATGTGGGAGCTAAGGCTGAGCATACAGTTAGTCCAGAGCTGCTTTTTGTTAAATCATTAACATGCGGCATAACGACAGTTGTATTCTATCGTATAATGCAGCTGAACTTGCATGGAAACAATTCTAAACAACTACAGTGACAAAGTCCCAAGAATTCTGTATTTTTCAGAGGTGTCAATGGAGGAAACAAGACAGATGATAAGTACAGTAGAATGTCAGAATTTCTTGAGTGTGGTTTTAATCCCTTCTCCATTTAATTGGCAGATGATTTCATCATCTTCATATCTCTGAACTTGGATCATAGGACAAATGGTAAAATTAGCCTGTAAACATCTCCCCCAGCTCTGATACTGCAGGAATCAAATCTCCCACTTCCTTAGATGATTCACTTACTTTCCAGAAGAGTCACTTTCCCTGCTATTGTCACTATCCCTTAACTTACCAGCACCATTCATAAGGATCAGTAACATCAGACCCTATATGCCTTCCTACCATGCCTTTTCCTTTTCCTATTATCAGAAGGGGAACTGTTTCTTATTTCAAACATGGACTGTAAGCGTTTTTAGCTGTGGCTTACTTCAAAGCTTGAAATTTTAACACAGGGAAGAAGAAGGTAACACTAAACCACATATTTCTCCAGCAATGACTTATTTGGTACCACATTTTAGGCTTGGACGACTTCTGAATGAGGTCTTCTGTGTCCTATTAAGAGTTCTGTGTGTACTTGAGATATTGTGTTACTCTCATAAAATCTCCCTCATAAGATCATTGCATCTTTGAACAAAACCCGTGTTTCACTGACCAACTGGTTAGAATCATATTGCAAGTCAAGATGATAAAATGTCTCTGAATATTGACCCTCCCTCAGAGTGAACATTATCCTCAGGAAAGCCCCGGGTTCTGCAATTATCTTTATTGTTACAACAAAAGAGATTGACTCCAATCACAAAAAGAAACTTACTCCATCTTCAGTATACAAACTATTGATTTGATCGATAGCATATTCTACAACAATGACATTTTCCTTTTGCCAAATTTGAAAACCTAACCATTAGCGTGTAGAAGAACACTGTGTTCTTCCTCTGCTCGATGCCAGGGCCACTGGAGGTCATGAGCACACATGGCTCCTGTCTTACTGATGCCTGTCTCGTGTGCTCTTCTCACTGCCATAAGTATAAGTAGCTTTAGGTCAGTGACCACGTGAGCCCAAATTAGGGGTAGCCAAGATGTAGGATTTCAGCTTTCAACATGACCTCTGTGCAATCTGCTGAGGAATAAACTATTACAAACAACCCATATGT